AATTCCCACAGAAGTACAAAAACTTTGTGAAATTTCAGCATCTCTTAGGAATATTTGTCTCTTATCTGCCATTGACTCTCGTGCAATTTACTCCTCCTTGGAAGAAAAGTCAGAAAAGGTGCTGCCTGAACCTAAGCAAGGTGTGGTCCACATAAACACAAGACAAGCTTGTGGGAAGCTATATTATTGTTATTACACATACATTTAACTTCTTAGCTTGTTTTCTACATGATTTTGCAGGACACAGCTACCTCTGTCATGTTTGGGATGCTTAGCAAAGTATGAAGGCAAAGAGTTGGTTGCCTTTTTCAGGTATCGTGAAGCTCGCATAATGCAGCTGCCTGTGTCTTGTTCGAGTACAAAATTGGTACAATAAGGTACAATAAAGTACAATAAGGTTGGCTCCTTCCTTGCTAGTGCCCTGTATAAATAAAAGCAAGCCCAAAAAGGTATAGAAACTTTTCGGTCCCATCCTCACAACAATTTCTTTAGAAATGTCAAAAATTCAAACACTAGCAATGCTTCTGATTAATACCTGTTTCTAATCTCTGAAACATTTGTTGTGTGACAGAAGATTAATCAGAGGAAATCATCTATTCTAAAGGTTTATTTTAAGGCTTATCTTTGTTTTATTTTCTTGATGCTGAAAGATTCGTGCATTTAAAAGCCAGTATGAGTAAAAGCTCCTCATACGAATGTAAATATTGCCTTCATCTGTCTTCCCCAGAGAGTCTGCTGCATGTTGACAAGTCCTATACAATTATTTCCAGCCTGCCTGAATATTTTTCCCTTTATTCAACTCTAGTCACAATGACAAATCAGAGTTGCGGTATAAAATGTATTTTGCTGGGAAATGACTGTGGTGAATTTGATGCCATGCTGCTTACTTGCTGGATTTCAGGGCAGAAGAGCTATATTTGATCGTGGGGGTGGAAGAGAAAAGCCACAGTGTGCAAGCTGGTGGCTGCTGTATCGTTAATTTATTGGCAGTTGTAGAAAAAAAGATCTGCATTCTCCTTTTATTTTTTATTTTTTTTAGGCCAGATACTAGCATGAGTTATGGCGTTAGCTATTGCAACAAGAGCCATGTGGAAAATTTAAGTCCTCGGAGAGTTGTGTGTAGTTCTGCTCCACAGCTAAGGCTTTTAACTCTTGCACGTGTGCAAATCATAATCAAGAGTAATAGGTAAAAAGCCCCTGCTCCTTTAAATCAGTGCCACCAGTGACTCAGAAAGTCTATCGATTTTTTTTTTTTTTATTCCTACCAACAGCTTCAATTAAGATTCAGCAGATCCACTCCGAGAACACCCTGTCTAAAATGCTTCGTAATATTTTTGGTTTAATATTGCTTTTTAAAATTCTGTTTAGGAAATGAGCACTCTGAAGTAGTGTTATCTGTTACATATTAAAACAGCAGTCTAAAAGGCAAAAGGAATGTGTAATTCACAGCTTTTGTTATAAATTTGTGTAATTATTAGAATATGCAAATATATATGTTTCCTTAACTTTCTTCAAACAACAGCTATACAAATTAAAACAAAAACCAATTATATTCACTCAGACCTACTACTTTCTGAAAATGGGAAAATAATGTCGTAGTTTTGAACCACCCCACACCATATTTTCACCAAAAAGAGCATCTCTATCAACAAATTGCCTGGATAAAGCGATTGCAGGGTATTTGTTTTTACCCCGCAATGCACTAAGCAAATTTCAGCACTTCAACACGCCAACAATTTGGTAATTTGTGACCATATTCAGCCCGGAAATCTGGCAGAAAGAAGGCAATGTGAGGCTCTGTCATCCTCCAGGAGATTGTGAGCACTTCAGAAATGAAATGAGAAGGGCAGCCATCAGGGAGACGAAGAGCAGCGTGCATGGGTAGAATAAATGCATATTAATAAAAAGGTTTGCCTCGTGAGTCACCGTGCTTCCCATTTAGATTTCCATACTGGCATGTGGCAACTGCTGTAATTGCTGGCATTAAGAAGTGATCCCAGGGATGTGATGTGCTCTTGCTTTTCACCACAGCAGTTTATCAGGTGGGAAGAGGAAGAAAAGGCAGCACCGTAGTGTTGGCCAGCTTCCTGAAGATGGGCTGAGATCTTTGGATTAAAATTTGAAAACCATTGGCACAAATGCAAGAAATTTTGAAATCTAACACTGATATCTCTGAAACTTCCACCTGAGATGGCAGACGTGAGATGTAGATATATTTGTTAGTTGGTACATGGCCATCTTTGTGAATTTTTCTGTCATTTCACAAACTTAGATAACCATTTTATAACTCAGTAGGCTTGCAGCCTGTTTCCTCAGAAGGCCAGAAGTTTTCCTTTACTTTCTGTGCTGTGTTCTGGGGGACTGCACATGTTATGTGTAACTTAACTGCCAACAAGCCTTTGGAGGCCTCACAGAAATGTACTAGTTCGACACTTTTGGTTTTCTACGTTTTGCAAATTAGCAGTTTGCAGGTTAAAATAAAAACACTGAAATGTGCTTCCTGCGCAGCGAGTCCTCCTAAGTGAAAAATGTGAAGAGATAAATTGCTGGTGTTCTTCTATGCAAAAAAAAAAAAGTAGGAAAAAAAAATTAATTTATGGAAGCTTCACTGAAATGGGTGATGAAATTTCCTGTGGTGTAATTTTCAAATGCCAGAACAGGGAGAGCCCTTCAGCATTCGGCGGTGTGAAGCTCTCATTACAGGCTCTAGGCTAAAGAGCTCTCCGTTGTTTGCATGCTTAAATATCTAATTTATTAAGAAGTTAGAGGGGGGTTGACACTACCATTATAAAGCATTTTCTTCTAAGGAAACGTGTTCAGTCCGCACTTGCAGTCTTCTGGCATTTTGTTATGGAAGGGCTAATATTCTCTGGCTGCTTTCCTGAGGAAATGGCAGATATTGGACGTTGACCCTGTTAAGAGGAATGAATATAAAACCCTAAGAAAGGGGATTTAATCATGGAAAAACGCCACCCTCCTAAGCCTCTTGTTCCCTGAGAGCATGAAGGAGACTTTCTGGTGTACTTCAGTGGTGTCATGAGCCTGGTTTGTCTCTTACCTGTGTTGTAGTGAGAAGGGCTCTGCAACATCACCAGACAAATATAAAATTCTGGGCCACATGAAGGTGGTACAGTGGCCTAAAATGAAAAGGAGAGACGAGTTTCCAGGCTGGGGCCTTCAGCAGTCATGGCCTAGCTCTTCGGTTTTGTGTGAGCCATCGAGTGGCACTGGGGTGTGAAGGAAAGTGGGGGACGGCTGGTTGTTGGGCCTACTAAATGCCCTACCAGAAACTTAAAGCGTTACGTAGGTGTTCCTAATTGCTAATATGGAAAATCTTGTAAAAAATGGATAAATAAAGTTTGTGGCTTAGTCCTCAAGGTGGCCATCCTGATGCTCCTGATGCTCCCCTTCTCCTCTCCTGTTTCAAAGGCTACTCTGGAAGGCTGGAAAAGGGCAGGGAGGAAAAACAGAAGAGAAATGAAAGCTATTAGAGAAAAAGGACACTAGAAGGTCTGGAGAAGGTTATTTTGGAGGCTTAATGGTGGATTACCACCTACTCCTTTGCAGTCAGGTGATGGGACGTTTAGATGCGTAATTCTTCTCCAGGAGCCCCTGTCTCATGAACAGGAGCAATATCTGTAAAAAGGTTTAGCAGGAAATGTATCTCTGCTTCCTACACTGAAGGAAAAGACGGAGACAGAAGAAGTGAGGTAAAAGATAGGAGGGAGAGGGAGAACACCCCCGTGTAACAAAAATTGGAAAAAAGATAAAGAATTGCAAGAGAAGATGTTTTAAAAAGACATGCCATATAACCAGGCTTTTACAATAATAAATAACAATAATTAAATATATATATATATATTTATTGAGACCACAAAGAAAAAATCTGGCGATGAGGACATGGAGAAAAAAAATTTGGACAATATTGATTTAGCTTTCCTGTAAAGTCTGTGTTTCTTTCTGAAAGCTAAGAGTTCAGGAGACCTTTGGCAATGAGGTCAATAAAATCTTTAAAATCATTTAGTTAGATTGAAGGCCAGATGATAAACCCTTGTGATAAAAACTTCTGCCTTTATTTGCTAGAGCAGTAGTAAACCCACTCATTTACCTTCAGATTGATTTTCCTTCAAGCTTAGAAGAAACATGCTACATCTGGGCAGAAGAAGGCATTGATGTACCTTCTGCTGATTCAGAAATGTAGAGTACAAGGCAATGGTCCATTAAGGCTAATTAAATCTATAGAACAGATGACGACTTTGCAAAGATTTTTCAAAAATTTTTCTTTTTCAAAACCATCCTAACTAATCTTTAAGTTACAAAGAGATGAACTTAACAAAATCTGTTCAACCTCTCTGCTTCTTATAGTCCAAACAGGACTAAAGGTCACCTTTTGTCAGCTGTTTCTTTGAGACTTGATTGCATGTTGTTTTGAAACTGGGTGGATTTCTCTGTCTTCATGTTTGTAAAAGTGCTTTTCAAATAGTTATTTGTGCTCTGATGCTATATTAGAGTGCCAAAAGAAAGGTCACGGAAATCTTTATTTTTTACATTAAAATATCTAAGAGAAGATCATGGAGTCTGATTTTGCTGTTGTCTGGCTGTCAGCAGAGGTAAATTGAAAGCTTTTTCAGTTCTCAGCCAAGTAAGCTGATTTGGGGTTCATTTGCTTTGGTTTTGATAATTTTTAAATACAAAGGCTTTGTTTCCATGTGAATGTGAGGCATTTGAAGTCTGTGTTCAGACACAGCTTTTAGTATCTTCCCTTCACAACTGCTTGGTTTTCAGTATCTTCAGTAACATCTAGTGTCCTAATAATCCACAGTGTCCTCAAGCAAAAGGAGTAGGAAAAAAATCAGAAGTGTTCTTTTATTTTGCCTTATTATTTGTTTGCAGCTCACCTTCGATAAGGGATGGTTCGTACTTGCAGATTTGGGGAATTCATTTTGAGTGTGTGCTTGTCTGAAGATTTTTATTAATTCTATTCTTCTTTTCTTTTGAAGATTACAGATAGAAGAATCTTCTAAACCCGTAAGGCTATCACAGCAGCTGGACAAAGCAGTAACCACCAATTACAAACCCGTGGCTAATCATCAATATAATGTAAGTAGCTTTGAATATTTGTCCTTCTTCTAGCCAGGAGGTATCTGGCTGAGGACTCCCAAGTCATGGTTGGCAGTCCGGGCTTTTACTCACAGTAGGGCAAAGTCTTTGGAAATCTTTGGAAGTCTTTGGTTATCTGGTTTCTCGCATTGTTTTTCTTTTGGGTATCTTCTTTTTCCTTCAAGAGCCACACCACCCCTGGTGTTAAGGTCTGCCAGTTCTTACCCTCTCTTGTTACCTGGTAGAGGACAGACTGCCTTTACCCAAACCTTTTCTATTGTCTTTACTGCTTTCTTCCTCTAGTCTTTTTTTTTTTTTTGAAATGTAATTTTAAAGTTTGGGGATAAAAGGCAATTCTTGCTTTGTGCTATAAGATGTGGAAGCACTCCTTTGAGCCAAATAAAATATCACATGGAGGTGGGCAAAAGGCTTGAATCTTTATTTTCTAGTCCTCTGCAGGAACTGGCATGAGTAGGAAAGAATAACAGCTGATAATTTTTCACAGTTTCATACCTTCATAGTACGTGTTATTTGCATCATTAACTTTGTCAATATTACACCCACGCTGCTGTTCCAGATCAGTTGATGTACATACAAACTATAATGTCCTTTTTCTTAAAGATCCTCTTTGAGTAATTTGTATGTATGCATGTATAATCACTGTTAGTGTTGAATGTGAGGAATGTTAAGTCATACCAAAAATGAGTCAGTGTGTTAGTCATTTAAACTTTTACACTTTTTATTAAGATTTTATTTACATAAAACAAATGATAATATACTGGGTGATATTTAAGCATTATTCTGAAAGGCATATCTACAGAACCCAAAATAATCATTTTTCTCTCATGGGACGGTTTTATAGTAGTTGCTGTACAAAGTCTGATCTATACAGAGATGATCAGAGCAATAAAGCTATTCCAGCTAAGGGAATGACATTTAATCAAAATAGTCACACTGGTGTATGTACAACCGTATAACTTCACCCTGTAGTCAGTCTTCGAATCTTCCTGCCAGTTTCAAGCAGCTATGGTGGTATTGTTACAGAAATGTAAGTCTTGTGGATAATTCAGGCAATATAACTGGGATGTAACCAGGCCTCTTAAAAAGTTACGATGCCCTGGTGTACTAATTGTAATGTTCTTAGCAGTTACGTAGCTGTCCCTCTCCATATCCATCACTGGTTTGGTTTTCCTATCTGCCTTAAAGATGTTCTGAGGGGAAGAGTCTAATGGGACATTCACTTGAATCATTCTTGGCCTTGCCTTGACTCTGAAGACCCAGGCGGGACTCCTTCCTACCACATTTTTCTTTTCATTAAGTCTTTTATTAAGGTTCAGCTTAGATGACTCAAAGGATATCAGACTGGGAGAACAAGTCCATGGACTTTTTAAACCTCTTCATTACATCTTTCTGGTGGTTTCAACAGCAGGTAGTTCTTAAACTTAGTGCATTGCTTGTAATTATATGACAGACCTGTTCAGGACAAGACTTTTCACGAGAAAAACAGGAAAAATGTACAAACTGCTGTACATGCTGATGCATTTGGTTATCTTCCTAGGTGTTTCTGAGAGAGTGAGCATCTACTAAAATAAGAAAGAAACGGGTAAAATTTCCTCAAGAGAGAGGTGATAGAATATTAAATAGGGCTTAAGTGTGACTGCTCTGTGTACTCCTAAATTAACATACAAATGGAAGGAAGAAGGAAAAAAAATACTTGCAGATGAGGAACCACAGAATTGTGGAATCACAGAATGGTTTGGGTTGGAAGGGACCTTAAAGATCATCTAGGTCCAACCCCCTGCCATGGGCAGGGACACCTCCCACCAGCCCAGGTTGCCCAAAGCCCCATCCAGCCTGGCCTTGAGCACCTCCAGGGATAAGGCAGCCACAGCTTCTCTGGGCAGCCTGGGCCAGGGCCTCACCACCCTCACTGCAGCCCAGACTGCCTCCAGTCTAAACCTCTTCAATGAGTTCATCCCCACTGGTGAGCACCAGGCCCAGCGACGCTTCTCCTCCGGTTGGGTTGTCTCATACCTGGACCATGAAGTTATCCTCAACACACTCTGGGAGTCTCCTGGATTGCTCACAGCCTGCTGTGGGGCTTCCCCAGCTCATAGCCAGGTGGGTGAAGTCCCCCGTCAGGGTGAGAGCATGCGAGCATGATGCTTCTTGTGGATGAAGCAAGAAAGCCTCGCATGGTGGGGTTGCCATTGCCTTGCACAGAACTGAAATCTCTGATATTCAGTCAATAGAGCAGAAGAAAAATGGTTTCAACGATTATCAGGTAATTCCTTAGTTTAAAAAAAGAATGAAAAGAATTTAAGACCTTTTAAAACTTCCTTCAGACGCATTCAGATGAAACTTTTTATTTGGTCTCACTTATCAGGCCTTCTCTATCATCTGTGTGCTATCTGTCTACCAAACAAAGTGTAATACATAAGCTTCCCTATTAATGATACCTTCAAGAAGGCAATTTTGGCAGCTTTTCAGCAAGCTTAGCAACATACTGTGAAGGTAAACAAAGAGAAATTGATTTCTCTATGAAGTCTTGCAGGGATAAGCTAGCAACTTCTCCATTTGACAGCTTGTTTTAAAATGGTTCGTCCTTGAAATCAAAGTATATTTTAATGCTCTTTAAATTTAAAATCTACGCAGTTTTAAATAAATCTAATTAGTTCACGGCGCACATGTATTCCGTAATGTGGCTCTCAGGAAGTGTTTTAAACCTGCTGCATAAAACATCTTGTTTACACAGAAAACAGAAAGGGAAAAAAAAAAATGAAAGGATGCATTGTAACTTGCTAGGAGCAGCGTGAGTACAAGACAAAAGAAGAAAACAGCAACACATACCATGTTTTTTTAAAACACACTTCACAATGCACTCAGTGTTTCTAGACAACAGTGGGAGCTGTTGCTGAAGCTGGAGGTAAACGCCAGTGTTGCTAATTAAAACACAGGCGACTGAGACACCAGTTGCAAATAACTTGTTTGCAGCCAAGGAGGGGGTTGACAATCAGTTTTATGTGCGAGTTGTTTTTATACATTAAAAGTGAAGAATTTTAGAATATTCACGTTGTGTTCTTATAGGAAATGCAAACACTCCTCTTTGATTTACTTCAGATAATCCAGAGGATGTAAAATAGAAGCTCCTACCTACTGGGGAGGCTTTGCTGAGCCACTAAAATAATAGAGAAAGAAGAATGCTGAGCAGTAGTCTACTAGCAAAAAAAAAAGATTGTGCTTCAGTTCGAAATACCACTTTGTGTTATTTTACTGGGGACTTTTATTCATATAATTAGGATTTAATACCCAATCGTGAGATAATCCTGTCAGAGACCTAACATCAGCAGAGACGGTTTTGAGAATTTCCTTATTGTTACTTTTTTCCCCGTGCGTAGGAAGCACCAATTTTATAAGGATTATTTTTTTTTCCTCCACATGGAGAGAGTTGTAGCTGGTTGCTAGCTATGCACATTTTCCCTGTCTCATTTGGAGAGGTATGAACAACCCTGTGGATTTTTTGTATTGCTTTTAGAGGTAGTTTTGAGAGTCACAGTAGCTTTCCTCTTTGCCCCCGTAACTTACCTGCTATTCCCGTAGCTCTGCCACGTACAGAACAAATAACCTCAGTGCCTGGCTCTTGTTCTTTCTCCTTAAAAACAAACCAGAAACCAGAAAGGGATGAGATTGGTTTCTTCCATCCCTTCAGCTTGAGCTTCCTACTTGAGGAGGTTGCAATTTGTTTCTGGTTTTCTTCTTCTTACTCATTTTGTTTTTGTTTTTTTGGGGAGGAGGTAGAAAATCACAGAAGGGCTGGGGAGGACAGACCTAACAGCTGCTCTTGCAGCAGAGTCGTGCAGCCTGTAACGGGCTGCGTCTCTCACACCACATCTTTCAGCTGCTGTACTGTGCAATCAGAGAGAAGGCACTAACCTCAGAAACAAATTCAGAGGTCTTTACACTGAAAAGTGTCCTCAAGTGTTTGCAGGGACCCAGAGCTCAGTCAAGCACTGCAAACAGAGATGCCTTCATCTCTCCTACCATCTTCTGAAGTTGACCTTTGAAGTATCAGGTCTTGTCTGGCACATAGTTAAAGCTGGATGATCCAGCTCTTCCTCCTGTAAAACGTTAGCATGTGCCTATCTCCAAAACCTTGTGATGGCCCCGTAACGCCAGCGTCTCAGATGTAATAGTGCTCTATTGACAGCTTAGCAGAGTGTTGTTTACTGCTGCCAGCCGTGACCTGATCAGCAGCTGCACAGAAAAACTGGAAAATATGTGGATGCCTCAGCCAAGGAAGATTGAAAAGTCAGGCTCAGGAAAGCCTGTTGCAGTTGATCCAAGAGACTGTTCAGAAAAGTCTGCTGCCATGAGGGTACAGTGTCAGCGTCTAGGTTTTTGAAGAGGATCTCATAAAGGTGTAGCTCTTTCTTTCCTTCGGATGTGGAAGGAAACACACAATACACCCTACGGAACAGCAGTTCCTCTGCGTGACTGTGAACTACCAAAGGGAAAGAATCTGGACCAATTTTTGAAGAGGAACAAAAAATATTTGGTGTACCCAGCTAGATTAGTGTATTTTCAGCAATATTTGGGTCGCTGCTGTTTACTGATTTTCTTCTGAGAACATAATATAACACGGCACTGCCTGCAACTTTGTGCTTGCCAGGTATTTTCTCCGTCTTGGTCTGATTCCATGTAAAATGCTGCTGCTGCCGTACTTCATGGTGATCTTACTCATTAGGAAGCAATTTCAGTCTCATTACCTACGTTACAATGGGTTTTGCCATTGGCTCTCTCCAGCTTACAAAGCAAAGAAATGGATTTCAAATACAAATGCCACTAAAAAATAGAAACCCAAATGGTTGCTGTGGATGGAGATACGGCTCCCAGGCTAGACATTGTGATGGGGTTCTGATCACAAACAGCCCCTTTTCAGCGCTAGCCTGGAGTATAAACTTTAGACTGTAGCCTGGGATGTGACATTCATGTATTTTTCAAGACCAAAGGGACAACTATCGTACTAAAATAAATTAAAAATGCATGTCCTGAAGTCTGCATGCTGTATTGTCCTCAGTACTCACACACGTTCGAGTGGCACGTCGCTACGTTTCTGCACTGAGTCAGGACTGTGGAGAGCTGGTTTCTCTGGCAGGAAAAACACATCATAGATCCAAATGTATCTTAGGAAATTCTGACTTGAACCAGGTATAAATTAAGGGGGAATAAAGAGGAGCCAGGGGCTTGCCCGGGTGCCCAGGACCCCGTGCAGGCGCCTTGTGCCGCTCTCCCAGGAGGAGCCCCCACAGCCTCTCTGGGCAACCCTGAGTTCCTGGTAAAGAATTCAGCCTTCCAGCCACAAAAACATTGTCATTCTATAAGTCATATAATTCTTTTCTAATATATTAATGGATCCTGACTCTTTTTTAGGCTTGTAGTTTTAAAACATCTAAACCGAGTAGACTTTTTCAGGTACATTTCAGCATCTCTGCGGTTTTGCTTCCTGCGTTTGCAGCGAGACGCAGTCTGCTTGGCACTACCCTCTATTGTGAGACGACACCAGCAGAAGAAAGAAATTGAATCCACAACACGGTTTCCGAGGCTTATAATTAAAATCTTTCCAAGGTCAGCGGAGGGCCCTAATGATTTGTCTGCTGGACTTTGAGAAGAAGCAAATGTTTTGACAAACTGTTATTTATAGCAAGACCTGATGTCCTAGATTTATGTTCCTACTCCAGTTTCTGTGGTGTAGCAGCTCTGTTACAGATCATGCCAAGCGAGATGATGTTACGAAAGCTGTTTTATTTGATGCTGCAGTTTACTATCACTACAAAACTATTACTGTTTTGAATGGCTTTTTTTTTTTTTTAATGAAGAGGCTAAATAGTTTAAATAATTGCCCCTAAAATGTATCAATGGATGAAAATGAACTGGATTTGAGCAGAGATGCTGCATCCTTCGTAGCACTGACATAAAACTGGAAAAGCAGATAAATATTTGGATGCCCGAGCCCACCACCAAGTTTTAAGCAGAAGAAACAACCTTCAAGTTATGGGTTGGGAACACTTTAGTGATGACATCTACTCCAGAACTTGAAAGGAAATTTGGCTGGCCAGAGACCTGTGAGCAAGGGCAAAGGTGGTGATAGTCCTGAGCCTCTTGAGATGGATACCAAGAAGGCAGGATATTATCACTAGGAGAGCAGGAGGGAGCTAGCTGGCTGTGAAACACAGGCCATAAAACTGATGTCTCTCATCAAAAATACGATTTCTAGTATCCAGTAGAACCTTAAATTTTCATTTTTAGCCTTCTTCTCTGAAGGTCTTCCTTGAGGATCAGGTTGGAGACACAAGAGGCAGGATGACTCCCTGTATAAAGTTACCCTGCTGGCAGCCAGGTCTTTATCCAGTGCCTGGATCTGTTCTGCTGTGTCACGCCGGTTTGCATCCAGCCATGCAGTTTGTCTGCAAGCACCTGCTGATGACATTAATTGATGACGTTCTGGGACATGTTTGTCATTTCCAAGGAGTTTGGGGGTTATTAGGGGTGTCGGGGGGTGGATGGGGTGATGGACAGGTACATTCTGCACTCGGTGGTTGGGGTTGGTTTGGCCTGTGCTGGTCTGTGCAAGTCATGCTTTTGATGATGGCTTTGTTGAAATGCAGGAGGTATTTTTGGAGACTGGCAGGGAATAAAAGTTTCTGCAAAAATTTTTTTTTTCTGCAAAAATAATCCTACCTAGATTATCACAGTTATGTATTTTTCATACACATCCTGAAATAGGATGATGATTGGCAATGAGGGGCCCGTGCTTGCTCAGAGTTCTCTTTTTGGACAACAAACAGTAAGTTTGTGCGTGTTAGTCACATTTCCCCTGAAGAGTTCCCAGCCGATTCCTAGAAGTGTGCTTGTTACTTGGAGAAGATTGTTGTTACCTGGACGGAGTGGTTGTCTCGAGTGCCATTTCTGGAACAGATGAGGCAATGTCTGAGGGCCGTCAGAGCGTGCTCTGAGCAGGTGATTGCTGTGGTCATGGATGCAGCCGTGTTGGTCTCTGGATTTTCCTGGTCTTGCAGGTTGTTTGTTATTACTCTATGATATCAACAGAGTGAAAATAGCAGCTCAGTTCAGATTCCTGTATTAATATGAATTCTCTCTTCAGGTTTGGGCACATCTTGCAGGCTCTGTTTCTGATTTTTTTGTTATCCTTGTTGGTTTTTTTACCTCTTAAAGCAGAGATACATATCTGAAAGGCTCATTGTACTGAAGACAAAATGCTTAGTCTGTGTTCATAAAAGAACATTTGAGTGCTCAAAAGAAAAAAAAATTCAGATGAAAAGCACTGAGTCATTGAACAATGTTTTATTATAGTTTTTTTATGTCTTAATGTTCAGCACTAAGAATTATACAGCTTTCCATATGAATGTCTTTAAAACATGTTTTGTATCTAATTGGTAGATTGAATACGAGAAGAAAAAGAAAGAAGATGGGAAACGGGCTCGGGCTGATAAACAACAAGTGCTGGACATGCTCTTTTCTGCCTTTGAGAAACATCAGTACTACAACATTAAAGACCTGGTGGACATAACCAAACAGCCAGTGGTACGTACCCGTAGTCTTTTAATAGAAGCATTTTCTGTAGTTGCTCTGGTGTTTGCTTTCCATACCACATCTCTAAATGTGTTTACAACAAATGGAAATCTCCAGGTTTTAAGTTGACTCGTGTAGAACTGTATAGGATGCCAAGGAAGCACTGCAGTGAGTACACTTTTCCTTGGCAGAGGTGGTTTAAGTAGCCTCAATTGTCCCTCGCTTGTTTAGGTTCTCTTTAAGACAAGAAACCAAACTCCCTAATTCTGTGATGTCTACCTGTGAACATTATTTGTGTTAGGAATGTATGTTAGGAGATTGGGCATCCCTAAAAGCGCTCAATTTCCTTTCCAAACAAAAGAAATCTTAGAGTTCTCCTTTATGAACATGAACTTCCCAGTTCTTTCCTTTCTCCCCCCTCCTCAAGGTTTCTTTCTAGACTAGGCAGGAGTGAAGGGAGACAGCAGCAGACGAAGTGGGTGATTGTTGCTTGCCAACCAAACGCAGCTGTAGTTCTTGAGAAGATGGGATGACAGGTCAGGAAATTGTATAGCTGATGCTTTTATCTCCTTCTGTCTGCTGGCTTTATCGCAAACAGGCACGCAGAAGAGATAAAGTTCTAGCAGAGTGAAAATTAGAAGTGTTTGCAGGAGCCGTGTGCTTTTTCTGCATGCACAGGTTATTTGGTAGGACTACCAAAGACTTTTTCCCTGTGATTTGCATTACCTTAGCCTCACCCACCATCGTGCTCCCAACCCCTGCCCGTGCTCCTGGAGTCAAGTTTGAAACTGGCCTTGTTTTATGGGTCACTGGCTTCTGTTGCACAGCAGTTTGTAGCAGCTTCTATTGCTTGTTTTCTCCTAAGATGTTGGTATCTTTTGTACTTTTTGACGTGTTGCACAGCTGGCTTTGATGTCTGCCCACAACCCAGCTGCAGTTTGCAGCAAACTCAAGGGAAATTGATTATGTTTGAGTCTAAACGGAGCAACAATTTCCAAAGTTGTTAGAGCAAAGGGCAGAAGAAGGAGCAGTGACAGCTGGATTATGGAAAAATTCATTGCTCTGAAAAAGAGGAGGGAAAATGGAGATGCTTACCAGTTTTGCTCATTTTATGGTGAGGAGAAAGTATATCCATACCAGGGGATTTGGGTAGTATAAGGTGCACAATCTGTGTGGTTAAGAAGCTGCACAGAGATGTTACCCAGTTCAAATACATGCAGCTACACAGTGCTGTAGTATCCTGGAAGAAACTAGCTGGATACTTTATTCATTTTTTCTATTTCATTCATTTATCTAATGAGTCAACTCCTTATCTGCGTGGCAGAGGCGGCGGGTAGATCATGGAAGCTGAGAAGGAGGAAGGAATGGGAGGAAGATACGAAGGCAGTGGCAAGAAAATGTTAGGATTTTTCTTTCTAAGTAAGAGATAGGTGTGACAGTCACTATCTGGATAATTTGGAATGCAAGTAGATGCAGATTTATCCCACCGAACATGACTTCAGCTAGAAATAGTCTTCCGCAACTCCCACTTAAGCCATGGGAGAACAGAAGTTTTCTTCTCCCTGTGAGGCACTTACCTCTGGAACATACCTGGCACTGCGTGAACTCAAAGCAGCCTGGAAGAACTGTGCTTCTGACACAGGTTTCTTCACTGAGCACCAAATACTGGGCAAGATGATCCAGCTTTTGTCTTAGTCTTCTCCCCAAGGATTAAACGTAAAGGGCATTTTGTGTTTGGAAATACCTCAGATGAATTTTATTAATGATAAATGATTTTATGATAAATTTCTAATCGTGACTGTGGATCTCTGCTGTCAGTAGATGCTCCTGAATGCCCACAGCATGGTGCACCAGCTGCATAGGCAAGGTCTAGAAGACAGCCCCCCTGTTCTTATTTACCTGAGGGTTCCTGACATTGTTCCAGCTGTTAGACTTTTTCCCCTGAGTGATCTGTGCAGTCTCAGTTTCATCCTGTGTGCGAGGCATTAGGGATCTGCTGTTAATTCCTAGGTGGATCTTTGCAGTAGGTGTCTGTGTCCTTCCAGCATCCTCATGCCTGGATTCTCTAAACGAAGCAAATCTTCCTGATGTCTTTCTTCATTCACTGGGTAGCCAATACACTGAATAAAATCAAAAGCAAGCTGCCACAATTCCCGTAACTGGACTCTAAAAACTTCTGTAGGGACTTGCTGGTGGCATTCATTTCCATTTAAAAATGCTGGCCAGTCATCTCCCACTGCGCTGCCAGCTTCCATCCCCGTCTGCAGGTTTCCCTGATGCTGAGAAACTTCAGCCTCTGGCCTAAAGTTTTTTTTTTTTTACTTTTCTGAAAATAAAGTATCCATTGCTGGCTCCCACTGTCGACCCCATTGCTCGCAGGGCAGCTGTGCTTCCTAAAAAACCATGCAATGCCAACAGGTTGAATAGGCACGCCGTCCCCGTGCCGCAGAAGTTGGCTGTTAATTAATCTCCACTGGGTGTTCGCTGCTTTATTTTCTGTCAGAGCATCTCAGATTTTCTGTAATTTCTCCTCTGGTTTCTAAACGTTGAGGTTATTTTCAGAAGTGAGAAAAAAACGTTGCTGCTGCTGTCTCGGCAGCTCTGGTTAAAATGAAGTCCTAGGTGCCTACATTGCTGGTTAATAGTATTAAAAATACTCTTCTCCGAGGGAATCGATGTCTTTTTTAGGGAAATAACAAATAAATAAGGGTATTTTTCGTACCCAACGGTAAGTGCAAACAGCAAGTGGAATCCCTGCTACAGAATATATTCCATGTTGCATGGGAAGTTGCTGCCATCTTTATTTTGAGACTATGATCTCCCAAAGCGAGCTGTTCCTGAATGCAAACTGCTGTTACGTTAGGGAAGCCCGGCTTTGTTTTTTCTTTTTAATGAAAAGTAACAATTTGCATTAGTGGGCAAATCTGTTGTCATCTACCCAGATGAAAATACAGAGCGCTCCCTGGAAACGTTGCGGTAATTCCAGATTTGGGCGTAATGGCTGAGAACAAAACCTGCTTTTTATGTCAGCAATCAAATATTATAAGAAACGGAGCCAGTGGTCTAATAGGAACTGTATTTTTTCAAAATACCATATACTGGTTGCAGTTTTTTCTTACCTTTCAGCTTTAAGTAATGGTTATGCTCAGTCTGTTTGGGGTTTTCTTTTGCTGAAAGTTTCAGGAGGGTTTTCAGAGCTTGGAAGTTAATGCCTCTTTCAAAATGCTTTTATCTCATAATTCTACAACAGCATTTCATTTTTTATGTAAAATAGAGGATGTGTAACAGAGCAGAGGCTGCCTTAACCATACAAACAGATTACCCACAGATTAATTTATGTATTATGATTACGTGTATACAAATACATAGAAACTTTCTGTGAGAAGCAGTTACAGGTCCCTGATCAGTGCTCACCAGGTTCTAACGTGTGGTTTTTGGCACTGCGGAGGAATGTGGAGGTGAGAGGCTTCTCGTGATGCTGTAGCATCAGGCTGAGCCTGCCTGAAGATGCAGGTGGGCCCTGGTGCCTGGGGAAGAAGGGATCCCATGGGAGGAACCATCGTGTCCTCTGGGCACACTGCTTGCTCTCCAGATGGGTGAAGAAGAGCAGGATTATCCCTCGTGCTCCTCCCATCCCACCTGGAGCCTTGGCTCCCAGCTGCAGATCAGCTCTCTCAGCACAGTAACTGCATTTTGCTCTACTTCACCTGCCTAAGTGCATTTTTATTCATTTTTCACTCTCACGAAGCCGTCTGCATGGTGAGGAGTGGAGCTTAACCTTGAATCCGAGTGCCTTTCTCCCTCCCACACTCTGCCATCTCCTGAAGTATCTGGCGGTGGCACCAACAGCTAGCTCACACGCACACACGGGGATGGCAAACAAAGCCGGGGAGATGCAAGCAAACACAGCTACACATCCCCGACATCAACAGCGTCTTCACCTGCTCTCATCACCTCTTAAAAAACACGCTGGGCAACAGCACCCTCCTTGCTGCTGTAGTGAGCACATTTGTTTGAGTGACCCGGCTGCCAAATAATGACAGCAGCTCTACATCAGCTTGTGCTTGGAAAGGTGTGCAGGGAGAACATCGATCTCCTGCTGCCACCTGCTGGGCTTTGCACTGCTCAAAGACTGAAATCATCCCGGCAGTGAACACCCTCTGTCTCCATTTGTGGCCACCTTGGTTGAAGAAATACCCTAAGAAATGAGAAGTGCATCCCATCAGGTGTATATATCATCCTGCTGGACGAAGTGGTCTCATTTGGATAGCCCTCGATGCTCTGGGACACGTTTTTAAGGATCATTTTGCTACGTGCATCTAAACATCATTGTTAGTGTGGGATCAGGATGGTTTGGGCTTCCTAAATTTTCATATGTAACACGAGTGAGAGTAACAATCCCCTTCTCTAAAAGCCACTTTGATTTTTAAAGCGTATTTTTACTCATTTCCCAGTTTTTCCATTTGGCAAAGCACATGCAGAGTGTAAAGAAGAGCCCGGGCGATTCTGTTTTGGGGTCATCAGCAAAGCTTTGCCCTGTTACAGCCTGGAGTAGGTGCAGCCACAGAAAGCAGAAGGGTGCCCGTAACTCCTGCTCAGTGTAAGCACTCGCGGAGGATTAAATGTTCAGACGAAAGCAATTATGAATTCAACGTGGAGATGCTTAAACCGTGGCCTGCGGTTGCCATGGCGATCAGCCCAAGTCAGCGCTGATTAATATTTAAACAAACAAGCAGGCAAATGGCTCTTGAAAAAAACTGCAGCAAATTGCTGGTGTTTAATACAAGGAGGAAAGGAGGGGGGGAGCTGGGAGCTGTCTGGTGTCAAAGTTCATACTACTGGTTATCAGACCTCTGCTTTTTTTGTTTTTCCCCCTAATTTCCCTTAATGTTTGAATTTCCCTTCCTAGTCTTAATATTTGAGTGTATTAGGAAATGCTCTGGCACCTACTCAACCCTCCTCTAAAAACGAGGCAGCAATAAAACGCCTCAAGCTTTGCAAAACGGCACGAAACCCAACAGCTCGGGGCTTGGGTGGGATCAGAAGAAGACAGGGTTTTGAGATACCGAAAATCCCAGTACAAGCGAGCTGATTCCTCTACCGACAAGCCAAGAGCTTTTAAGCCGGGCTCATGAAATCCCATCAGGATTCTCCCTGCCCTCTGTGGGAGAGGGGAGCCTGGGGGAGCTCTTTGAGCACCTGGTTGGGTGGCATCTTGAAATGTCTTGAAATATCCGGTGGTGTTCATTTCACAGTCACAGAATCACCAAGGTTGGAAGAGACCTCAAGATCATCGAGTCCAACCTCTGACCTAACGCTAACAGTCCCCACTAAACCATATCCCTAAGCTCTACATCTAAAGGTCTTTTAAAGACCTCCAGGGATGGTGACTCCACCACTTCCCTGGGCAGCCTGTTCCAGTGCCTAACAACCCTTTCGGTAAAGAAGTTCTTCCAAATATCCAACCTAAAACTCCTCTGGCACAACTTTAGCCCATTCCCCCTTGTCCTGTCACCAGGCACGTGGGAGAACAGGCCAACCCCCACCTCGCTACAGCCTCCTTTAATTTCAGTGGGGTCCTCATCAAAGCAGTGCTGCTCAACCATGTAAAGAAAGGTGGTTTTGCTGTCTGTCGGGTTATTTCCTAATTGGTCGTGCTAACGAAGTAAGCGTGCCTTTATAGCTTGTTCATAACTTGGGTTTTGTTTCCTTTCAGATATACTTGAAAGAAATCCTCCGAGAAATAGGCATCTACAACGTGAAGGGGACCCACAAAAACACGTGGGAGCTGAAGCCGGAATACAGACATTACCAAGTGGAAGACAAGAGCGATTAACAAAACCCCTACGAAGCAGAAGAGGACTACAGAGGAGTGACCGCACCGAGGGAGCTGCTGTGGGTTTCCAGACAGAACTGAGCACAGCCCAACTGTGCAAGGCTAAATTAAAATCCAACCAACCAATCCTTTGTAATTTTCCGTAGCCTCGTTTGTTTTTCAGAGGAATATTTCTTGTAAGTTTCCATAAATGTTTGTCTTTGGACAAAAAAAAATATTTATAGAATAAACTTGTATTAGATTTATCTTTATTAGAAATCTGGTGAGTTCAGATCTTGCTTTTTCTGGATAGCTTTCGTGGCTTTTTCTAAGCCTCGATAACTCAGGAGGAAAACGTGTCGTGGAGGAAGCTGTAACTCTGTGTTTGTTGCCTTCCTGTAGAGCCGAGTTCCTGCTCTTTGCTTCTGCTGGGATCCGCCAGGGCTTTAGCTGCAAGGCTGCAGAGATGCTCAGTGCTTTGTGTAACGTTTGGCTGTGCTCTTTTTGGGAGCAACAGCCCAGCGTTGGTGCTCAGCACAGGCCTCAGGCTTCGTGGGAACAAATAAATAAATAAAAAAAAGTAAAGGAAAGGCAGTTTGTGAGGGAAAGAAGACAATCCCTTCTGGGTGGCTACTGGGGAAAAAAAAAGGCAATGTCTGTCTACTAACGTACATCAAGGAACAGATTTATCTTTTTTTTTTTATTATTAATATTATTTTATCTATGTTTCATGCTTCAGCACACCAATAAAAGCATTATTTTAATTTGTACCAAGCACCGATCTGCCTCATTGACTGAAAGCAAGTTATGATTTTGATAGTTTAGGTATGAATTTCAAATCAAACATGTATTTAGTGGTGGCTTTGTCACAGGGTTTCCGTGTCTTTTGGGAAGATTTCTTAAGGTATCCACATCCCCTTTCCCCCATTTCTGAAGTGCACATCGCAAAGTTGTGCGTTCAGCATCCTGTAGGGGTGGAGCAGGGAGGGAGGTGGCACAGGACTGCTGGGTTGTGATCTCAAAGCTCGTGTGTTAGAAAACAGAATGGCAAACACCTCACTGGTATGCCTGTAAATGAAACAGGTGAGGTTTTGTAGCGTGGCTGTCACTTCCCTCTGGTCCTTCAGACGTGTGCATCATTTCTGCACATGGTAATAAAATAATTGGGCTATTGGAAAAGCCAACACACCACTACTGCACTTGGGAGGAATAAAAGCTTGGGAGGGGGGTCCAGTGCCCTAGGAGCTTTGTAAACAAGCGCCCTGTCTCTGTGCACGTCACATGTTGTGGTTCACTCAGATCATGTTTTTCAGAGCTGTTCGTCTCAGTCCCTGCCTGCTGACGCTTCCTGCCGGCGCCCAGCCTTCTGTCCAGGCTTTAGGAACAGCTGAGCGTGTCCCACAGACCCGGAGTGATCCTACAGATCCTGCCAGTGCCACAAGCAGGAGGCCCCAGCCACCGGCTGCGGCGGAAGATATTTGAAAGCTGTGGAAAAGGAGCCCAGGAAGCCGGCGGTCACGGTACGGCGTGTGCTCCCCGGGCCTCCTCCAGTCCCCTGCAGGGATATTTATATCTATTTATATCTATTTATGCTAATATTTAGAGTTTGGGGCAAACCTGGTTTGGAGCCAGCAGGTGAGAATGAGCCCAAACCTGCTGGGTCTGCACCATGCCAGCCAGGGGGGGAGGGGACCACAGAGCCACCCCCAGGGCGCAGGCAGGGCGGTGAACCCCCAGGAGCAAATTTCCAGGAGGTTTCTGAATGTGACAACTGAAAAAAAAAAAAAAAAAGCAAGGGTACAGAGGTGGAGAGGGTACAGAGGTGGAGAGGTCAACGGAGGTATCTCACCCACCCCAGGCAGTCAGCAGCCACACAGAGCCAAGGTGGTGTGAGGGAGGCTTTTCCAAGCGCATCGCTGCACGCAGCCTGGAGAGATGCATTAAAAACGGAAAAAAATGACCCAAAAAGTGGATTTGGGATGCGAGCTATCAAAACCCAGGTGGGGAGGTGCAGCTGTGAAGAGGAGGAACAGGCAGGGAAGGGAAAAGCCAAGGAGAGCCTCAGGCACACCCAGCACAGGATTTTCTTCTGCCAGCCGTGCTGCGCCACGTGGTCAAGCACAGAAGTAGGAAATGATGAAGGAAGGAGGGAGGCTGCTGGCTTTTTTTTTTTTTCTTTTTATAACCTGTCAGCTGGCTCCGGGCTGGTGAAGGCGTGCGGGGCTGAAACCTGAGCTGCCAGGGCAAAGATCGCTCCTGGAGCCTCTTCACCCGCTCCGGGGGTTTGGACTCTTCCCATGGCAGAGCCCTGCAGCTGCAGAAATGCTTTCCTGAGGAATGCAGGATACCAGGCTGATAAGTGCATGTTTAAAACAGGAAAACAAGCCGCAGCTGCTGCCGGGCTGTCCTTCAGCTCGGTCTTTCACTATCAGGGTTGTTTGTTGTGAATGGGGACTCGTCGCAAACCCTGGCCTTGCCCTGCCCCTGCCCAGTTTCCCAGTCACAGCACTTCCACACCACCTTAATTGGTAATTAACCAAGCAAGCGCTCACTCCCCCAGCCTTTAAGGAACTCTTTTTTCACTGGTGTGATCTTTCCTTTTCCTCACCTGGTAACGAAGCCCTTTGGCTGGTAGAGCAAGGACCGCCTCACTGATTTTTATTTTTATCCCACATTTTGAGCATAACTCCCTTGGCTGAGGGCAGAGGAGCGTTAATCCCGGCTGCTCAGATTACCCCACACTCGCACCACAGCCAGAGCAACAGCTGCCCCCCAGACCTTCCTGGGCAGGGGCTTGGGATGTAAAAGGAGTTCCTACAACTGCCAGCCGGGCGTGTTTTCAGATGGGCACCTCTCAGAGAGCCCCTTAGGGCGCTCTGCTCCCACCTCCAGCCCCTATCTCACTCTTCCCAGCCCGCCTCCTTATCTGACGCTGCACGAACCTCCCTCTGCCTGCACTCGGGCTATCTGCAAGGCCGTGCCCACCCCATACAGGCCCTTTCTGTCCCCAAACCCCTGCTGGCACTGCAGCTCGAGGCTGCCTCGGGGCCTTTGTGCTCCCTTCTTCAATCCGGACTGCCACGGGGGCGGGCAGGCGGAAAGCGCAAGGAGCCGGTTGCTGTCGCATCTCCACAAGAACCCGAGAAGCAACAGGGTTTTTTGCTCCAGGTCTGTCAAAGGATGCATTTCCGGGCAAGAACAGCGAGCTGTGAGCACCTGGGTTGACCCCGAACCCTGCCCCGCACTGTCCTGGCTGCCTGAGAGGAGCCAGCGCCACCGCTCAGTGCAGGGTGTTGGGCTCCTGCTCCATCCTACCTTAATCCCACAGTCACACTGCCCGAGGATGGACCCAACATCCTCACCTGACAGAGCAGCTCAGCCAGCACTTACTCGAGCAGCCACATATTCCATCCTCTTTTTAATATTCCAATTAATTTCTGGTGCCTCTCCCAGAGGTGGAAGTCTCTGCGCAAGCGCAAAGATGAAGGTCCGCGTCACGATGGGTTTAAATGAGTTTTATTTTAGACAACCTACATGACAGATGTTTGTTTTTTCTTTTTTTAAAACAATGCCTCCACTCCAACTCAGGGTCAAAAATTAAGTGAATAAAGCTCAAGATGACATCAGTCCAGTTGTTAGACATCGCCGATTCCTGGTGTTGTGCTGATGAAGAAGAAACAGCAGCCAGCTATGAAGACGGGTGATCCGAAGCCAAACTGTTTTGATCCGTTACTGCAACGAGAGCAGCGAGCGTTAGCTCAAGGTCACGACCGGCACAGTGAGTTCCTGCAGCTTATTCCTGTGTTTCCCCAATTCAATCTGAGCTGCCACAGGGCAGGCAGGCAGAAGCACAAGGAAATTCTTTTCGCATCTCAGTGCAAACCAGAGAGCCACAGGAAAATCGCTCGTGGTCTATCAGAGGATGCTGGCATTTCTGTCACCCCGGGGAGCAGCTGCCACCAGCTGCTGGCCAGGCCGGACCCAATGCTCACTCCCAGCCTGTCTGCTTCACACACCAAGTTTGGGATTTCCTCTCAAGTTAATACTTGTTTAGGACAGGCTCTAACTGTCTCTTACAGGAACACTCCCAGAATAAGCCAAAACATACAAGCACTGGATCTAAACACTGTTTCACTTTCACATTCAAACCCAGAATTAAGAGAGAGCAGAGCAGAGTCGCTGCCTGAGCACAGAGTAAGGTAACACACTCAGCCAGGTGTTACCACGTTCCCAAAACTCAGGGCAGTGTTTTAAACACAGCCCTCGCATAACAAAATAAAGGGCAGATAAAGCAAAAGAGGGAACCACGATAAAGTGCAGCGCTCCAGATTAAACCCAACAGCAGAGGGATCCAAAATAAAAGTGCTCCATTTCAGGGGCATTGTTTCCAGACTGACAGTCTGAGGACAGGGCCAGCTGCCACACAGCTCCCCGCGGCGATTCTCCCGCATTTCTCGGCCGTTACGTCAGGGGAGTCACGGCGTGAAGCCATGCCCCCTTCGGCGTGATTCAGTGGCACAACAAGGGAAGCCTCGGCCACTTTACGTAACACAGAGCAGCCACCAGACCGTACTTGGGGGAACTTCATGTTTTTAAAGCTACCCTTCAGCTTTTAGCAGAGATACTGAAGAGTCAGTGACAGATTTGGGCACATTGACCCGATTTCAAGTCAGCACTTACACATTTCTCGATTTCTAAGCCGTCCTTAAAGAAGATCATATAGGGGGTGACGCCGTCCTCGCGGAAATCCAGCAGGGCCACCATGCCATCTGGATTCATGTTCTCTCCTACGAAGAACTTCAGAGAAAGGCGTTACTGAGACACTCTGTGAGCTATCACCAGCAGACACTGCCCAATACACAAAAAAATCTACAAGCCAAGTTTAAAAGCCTCCCCACCAGCTGCAGGGGGTTTGCTCTTGAGAACTGTCCATTTTAGTACCACACTGCCATGAACATTAAAGTAGGAAACAGGGGCCAGAGTGATTCACCTCCCACACCTTTAACCCCACAGAACTTGGGGTTATCACCACAAGCACTGCAAAAGTTGAAGGAAGATCCCCACAAGTCCTCCAACTATTTCTCCTCCCTGACTCCCAGGACCCCAAACACCCTCAGAGAGAGCCCAAGTGAGACGTCCCTACAACAGGGGGCCTCAGAACTCAACAAGCCATTGAGCAGATAAACCAATCTCAGCTTGTATGACCAAGCACTGCTGAGGAAACAAGCTGTGTTACCTGGTAGTTTTTGAAGTTGGCGAGGATGTGTTTGATTTGTTCTGCAGCCCCTGTCATGAAAGGCTTTACTCTCTCTGGCTTGTGTTCCTCAAGTCTGGCTTTGATTCTGGAAGGAGAAAAGGAACTTTGAAAAATTTTAGCCTATTGACTTCAGCATCCCACCACAGCAGGAAGTTACCAGCAGTCACTGGTTTGTTGTGTTTCCCCCCACTCCTCCAGAAAACCAACCCACAAAATTTTAACTTCATTTTGCTAGGGAATTAGAAGAACAGTGCCTGCCACTCACATCAAGCTCGCTTTACTTGTAGCTTTGTGCTAGACAAAAAAAAAGAGAAGTCATTTCCAGAGCAGCAAGAGTGTTATCCATCAATACCACAGAAAAAGCACTTTCACCTGTAATGCCAGCCCACTGAACTCTGAGCAATAGGAACTATGATTTCAACTAGGAAACAGCTCCTTTTTACACACAGCTTTGGGCATTTAAGTTCAGTGTCCAGCTCAGGAAGCTCCCCTTTGCCACCCCACCCCCTCCACACAAATGTTTGGCACAGAGGAACAAAGAAAACAACAGGTTACAAATAATACCCAGAGCACATGCTCTCTTCTACCTGGCCAAGATAAGCTTCGATAGTCCAGTATTGATTCTTTAGAGCTTCAGTTTTGCCAGGTATTAAGACATCACGAATTTCACAGCCAGTTTGGCACCTGCACCAGAGCTAGCATCCACTAAAAGTAAAGCTCAATGCTATTTTTGAGGTCTGTGCCCTAGGAACCTGGCAGTCCCCCCAGAGAAAACCCAACCCCAAACTTACGCTTTCATGTAGTCCTTGATGTACTTCTTGTAGGACTCCTTTGTGAAGCTGGTTTCCTGCAGGTGGTGGTTTATCACTATGTCCACACCAGTTATGACCGTGGCTTCTGTCCCCTCTCCCTCAGGACCTTCGGCAGAGGCATTGCCACCAATTAGAGAGTCATCAATTTGACCCTCTGTCCTGGTGACCATCTAGATTTAGAGACATCAAAGAACTTCAAGGCTCTGCGGAAAAGCCCGGCCCTCCTGCCCTTCTCACACACCTACAGACAGCAGGGCAGGGCTGCAGAGCCACAACCAGCGGGGGCTCTGCAGCCCGAGGGGGGTGCCCCGAGCCCAGGTCCCCTTTTGGTGGCCCACCACAGCCCTGTGACGGGCTGTGGGTCCCCCCAACCCCTCTGAGGCCACCCATTAAAAAAAAACACCCTAAAAACAGCTTTTCACCTCCCCCTTAAATAAAAAAGGGCCGTGTGCACACTCACCTTGCCCTCCACTTCCAGGCACAGGCCGTTCGCCACCTCGCGGATCTTGTAGATGTCCGAGAACATCTCGTCCTCTGCGGGGACAGACGGACAGACACACACGGACAACAGACACACACACACCGGGCCCGTCAGCCGCCGCCATTTCGGGGCCGCCCCCCCACCTCAGGCATGCGCGGCCCCGCTCCCGGCCTACACCCGAGCCTCTCCCCCCCCCCCCTTCCCTCCCCCCTCCCTCCTTTTTTTTTTTTCCCCCTTTTCTCCCCGTCCCCTTACGGCTGATGCAGTCCCGGTAGATGATCATGGTGGCGGGGGCGAGGCGGAGGGCAGGGCAGGAGGAGCGGCCGGAGTGCTCTGCGCGGCGGCGGGCGGGCGGCGGCGGGCGGCCCGCAGCGAGGCGGAAAGGGCCGAGTCAGCGCCTGCCGGGCTCATATAGCGGGCACGGCCCCGGCGCGTCACCGGCCGCATGCCGCGGCTCCCGCCCCGCACTCAGCCGCCCGCCCGCCCTCGCTCCCTGGGCCCGCCGCGCACGCGCGCGCGCGCGCCCCGCGCGGCCGCCATTTTCTGGACCCCCCACCCCCCTCCAGTCCCCTCTCTTCCCCTCACGGCGATGCCCCTCGCCAAGGGCTCAGTTGCGGTTTGGAAATGAATAAACGGTCGTGATGAGCGAGTTATGATAATTACATTATGATAAT